GTGATAGTATTAAGTTGAAGTAAAAGATAAATTGTGTTTGTTTGTATTATAGTATAATGATATTAGTTGTTGGAATTAAATCTATTAAATCATGTAAAAACCCTCATTGTGTAGGAGGTAATTTTGTTATTTTTATAAAGTGAGCAACAAAACAATCATTTCACTTTCAATCCCTTGGGATTGGATTTTCAATACTACCTTCCCTATGAGATTGTTAATCCCATCATTGAAGGAAATTCATAATCTTATGAAACTCTTTAATCCCATAATTATTGATCGCTGAACATGATTCTTGCAGATCCACAATATTGGTAATCGAATCATATGGGTGAAGATCCAATAATTAGCCAAAGGTAAAGCCTTTATTGAGTGGAATTGTGCAATAATACCACTTATCTAATTTGTTGAGAGCTGCCTATTATAATTGGTTGAAATTAGTCTTTTTATAAGTTCATTATTCATGATTTGTTCTTCCTCAAAGAGGTTTACTTCAAGTTGAGTCCAATTGATTGCAAGAGGATTTGTGGGTCTGAAACCAAAAGTAACAAGTTTTTTTTGTGGCTTAAATGTGTTCTATAATTCTATTTAATTAGTATGAATGATCTGTACAAGAGTCTATAAAATAATATATTGGATGCAACCAAAATTTTATTTGGTTGAGTTTTTAATTTTTTTTAAAAAAAATTAGTCGGTAAAAAATAAAAAAAATAAAAACTCATTATTGTTTTATGATTTTCTCTTTTTTTGAGAGAATTAATTTTAAAAATTCAATTTTTTTTTAGTATTTATATTTGTCAAATTAATTTTTATTTTATTTTTTTAATTTCACCAAAAAAAAAAAAGCACATGGAAAAGGTCACCTTTTGGTACACACCCCTTGTATATCATGAACACGTTTGTTACACATTCTCTTGTTATATGTTATGTATTTTATGCATTTTTGTGATAAATATTATATAATTTTTTAATAGAGTTATGGTTATTGGATCCAACCAAAATTTTATTTGGTTGAGTTTTTAATTTTTTTAAAAAAAATTAGTCGGTAAAAAATAAAAAAAATAAAAACTCATTATTGTTGTATGATTTTCTCTTTTTTTGAGAGAATTAATTTTAAAAATTCAACTTTTTTTAGTATCTATATTTGTCAAATTAATTTTTATTTTATTTTTTAAATTTCACAAAAAAAAAAAAGAAAAAAAAAGGCACATGGAAAAGGTCACCTTTTGGTACACACCCCTTGTATATCATGTACACTTTTGTTACACATTCTCTTGTTATATGTTATGTATTTTATGTATTTTTGTGATAAATATTATGTAATTTTTTAATAGAGTTGTGGTAATTTGTAATTCAGAAATAAGTTTTTGAGTAAAGTTACACATTTTCCGCTTAAAAAATCAATAAAAATATGTACTTTTATTTCTGAACTATAAATTATCATAATTTTATTTAAAAAAATTATATAATATTGGGTTAATTATAAAAAAAATTCCAAGGTTTCACACATTTTTCACTTTAAATTTCAGTATTTCAATTTCGATAAATTAAATCTTAGATTTCCATCCGTGTTTCAATTTGTCCATTTTGTCCATCTCCATCTGTGTAAAGTAACGGAAAGAATTTAAATTGAAAAATATTCAGTGTGTTTGGTTTGAGTTTTTTGAATTAAATTTTTTGAAAACTCAGTTATTTGGTTTTCGTGTTTTTTTGTTTTTAGTGAATATTTTTAAAATTTTAAACATTTTTTTTTTTACTTTTTTAGATGCACCTTACTTAAATGTATCTAAAAAATAAAAAATTTGTGAAAAAATATTTTAAAATTTTGATAAATACATAAAAATACAAAAAATATATTGAATTCTAGTATTTTTTTATATTTTTGATATTTAGTGAATTTTTAAAAGGTTTTTTTTCACAAATTTTTTACTTTTTAGATATATTTATGTTAGGTATGTCTAAAAAGTAAAAAAAATTCCTTAAAATATTAAAAAAATTCAGTAAAAATAAAAAAATACAAAAAATAAGAAAGTAGAATTTTCTGAAAAGTATTTTTGACAAAACACAACCAAGCAAGCTGATTGGAATTTAAAGTGAAAATGCGTGGAACCTTAAAATTTTTTGTGCAATTAACCATTTTTTTCAAATTAAAATCACTAAAAACAAAAAAGGGTTAATTACCAAAAAAAAAAAAAATCCCAACATTTCACATGTTTTTCACTTTAAAACCCATTGTTCTTTCGTTTTAAACCCCCTCCGTTATCTTACACAGACAGAGATAGATGGATGGATAGATGGAACAAATTGAAACACAGATAAAATTCCAAGATTTGGGTTGTCAAAATTAAAACACTGAAATTTTTTTTTAATAAAAAAACGTGAAATTTTGAGATTTTTTTTTATAATTAACCCATTATATTTATTACAAAAATTGGTAACTATGCCTGACTTGCTTCATATATAGCCTACAACAACACCATGAGCACTGAGCCAACTAATAAAAAACATAGCATACGAAGATTTTGATTATATTTATGTCAACAAAAATGCCTTAGACCTCTGTACTTTCCCACTTCCAGTACCCTCACCCCCACCCTCACCCCCACGTAGACCTCTGTACTTTCCCACTTCCAGTACCCTCACCCCCACCCTCACCCCCACGTAGGGGTAGCGATGGGAATGGGAATTGAAAAAAGAGTAATGATCCATCCCCTTTTTTCCCCACCCCCTTTGACCCCCTCTCTCTCTCATTGGTCACCTTTTCTTTTTCTTTTTCTTTTTTTTTTCTGCTCCACCAATCACCCCCTGCCACGTGGCAAAGGGGGTGAGGGGGTGACCCCCAAAAGGGGTCCCAAGCATTATTCTTGAGAAAAAAACAAAAAATAAAAACTGATCAATAAAATGCCAGTGGGGTGCGGGTCCCTAACATAACTGTTATGTCAAAATCAAAATCAGGAACTCCGGTGTTGTAACATCATAATACTTCCTCGGACAAAGGCAACTTGAATGTACCCTTTGGAAATACTCTTTAATTTTTATTTATTTTATTTTTAGATTTATAACTACTCTTTAATTAAGCCTTCTTTTTCTTTTTCATTTTTACTCTTACTCAATAGTCATGGCTACCAAAACTTACCAAACCAATGACAAAAGAAAAAATAAGAACCAACCTCAAAGCAAGGGCCACAACATTCTCAAAATGAGGAGAAATTTAATTTAACCAAAAAAAAAAAAAAAACTCATGGCTTCACCTTGTAACAACATAAACTTGAATTTTTAATTTTATCAATTTAAATAATTTTTTATTTGTTTTTAATTTAAATTACTTATCTATTTCCATTAAATAAAATTGACTGAAAAAAAAAATTTAATCATTAAATTCAACGAAAAAAATATTTTAGATATTTCATACACAACTCCAAATCATTTTCCTTGAATTTTCTCTAAATCTTTTTTATTTACTCAACAAAAATAATGTTTTTTTTATATACCCTTTTTCTTTAAATTTTTTAATTTGTTTTCAATCTAAAATCTTAAGACCATATTTGTTTGGCGGATTAAGTTAGATGAAATTATAAGTATAGTGAGATTGAATGAGGATGTTAGTAATGTAATGATATTAAGTTGGATATGTAAGATAAAAAGTATTTGTTTATACACTACCATATTAATAATACAATGATGTACGGGGAGCAAATATTCCGGCAAGTCCGTACTCCTTTCTTCCAAGCTCCGTCGATGTCCGATCACCTGTGAGCAAGTAACGGTGAGCTACCCGGCGGTGTGTGGCCAGAAAAACCCTCCGACGATCAAGTTAGCACACACCTTAGGATGGATAGAGAGAAGGGAGAGAGTGTTTGAGTGTAAGAATTCCTTACAGAGATGTTCGTATGTCGCGTATGGGGGGCGCAGACATGCTTATATACCTTCTGAGCCCCATATCCACTCCCAGTCTTCTCTTGACACGTGGCTCTGCTATCCCATCTGTCAGCGTAAACCTTGCCGATCATCATCTAATCTCAACTGCCTGACTTCACAGCTGGAGCTCGGCAGCCGAGCTGCTCTACCACGGCCATGCCATGCTTCATACCCAAGCGCCTAACCGGATAAACACATGGAGGACCGGGCTAGGCGACATCCCGACAGTGCCTAGCCCGGGTAACTCCTTTGGTCGGCCTTTCTGCCGGTCAAACTGTCTCCTCGGTTGACCACGCCTTTTCGGGCGCCGGTCACTCAGCTTGTCTGGCTTCAGCCATCCCCTGATCAGGCAGCTCGGTCCAACCAGGCGCTATCTAGCCGAGCTCCATCTTGGGCCGGGGTGACTCACACTTGGCCCAAGTTCTTCCCGGCTCAAGTTCTGGCAGCCCACTTCTTGGCGGATGGTCAATCATCTCGGCCCCATGCACCGTTGGGCTCTCAATCTGCTCGGCCGTTACTTCGGCCCAACTCCTGATCATAAATCACCCTCTCAAATGACAATAATAATTGTTTATTCTACCATCTTTGAATGAAATTAATATATGAAATTTCATAAATACCCTTGATATAGTTTTGTATGATTTTGTGTATTTTATGTGTTTGCATAAAAATTATTACAAATAATAAAATTATAATTTAATTTTATAATATAATATATAATATTATTACAATAAGCGAAACATTCACCATATATATACATATATATTATATTATAAATATAATAAAAAATAAATAAAAAGGACACTTGCCTCATTGCCAGACACTGCGGCTGGATTGATTTTCTAATCCCACCTCCAACCAGAGCAACCTAATCCCACGGTGATGTAAAGATTAACAGTCCCCTTGGAATAACAATCTGGGAGTCCATATCAACCAAACAAGCTATAGGTGGGGTTCACTTCATAGTCCAATTCCACTCTTGAATCAGCCAAACAACATGACCTAAAAACACTCAATATAATTATGTCAAAATTGTAAAATTTGCTATGTTTTTATTTTCTTTCTAAATTTCAAAGGAGATCGTGTAATTTAACTTTAAAAATTTGGACATTTATGGCAGAAGATCAGTCCCGATGATTTAGTTCACCAACCTTTCGCTATTCTTTCTGAATGCATATTCTCAGGCAGGTTGTTTCTAGCTGTAGCAAATTAGGTGACAACTGACTAACTCAATGAAAGAAAAAAGCGACACTTGAAACCAAAGCAAAAACCCATTCCTTTTTCCTTACTCAAGAAAGGTCTAATCCCCATTTAAGTAACAACCTACTAAATCAAAAGCCCCGCTACCCTTGAATCAGGATGTTATCTCAAGAAACTGCAAAAATGCCTCCACAGGTATCACAATGTCATCCTAATGTCACACCCTTGGTTCAATTGCTACCTCTCAGCCGAGGAACGAAGAAGACGATAGTCCCCAAAAAGAAGCTTATTCCGGTTCTTCTTTTCTTACTTTCCGGCATGTCCATTCTCAGACTCCTCAAAATCTTTGTCTTTACTTCATTTTCTTCTCCTCCTCTTGCTTTGCCTCCAACACATCTACACAAGTGTTCCTCTCCTACTCCGGCGGGGTTCAAGAAGGCATCAAAGAGCCAACCCGTCTCCTCTGCCAGTGACGCCACCCTCACCGAGAAAGAATACCGCCTTTTGTTGAACATTATTTCCGCCAGAGCCCCCTGCAACCTCCTCATTTTTGGGTTTGAACCACAATACCTCAACCTCTCGTCATCAATCAACGCAGGTGGCACCACTGTTTTCCTAGAGGACAATCCTGAGAAACTGGCCACAATCAAAACAAATCACAACAATACTCAGATTTACAGGGTCGAGTACCGGACGCTTGCCAGAGATGCGTACAAGCTGCTCAAGCATGCGAGGCAAAGCCTGGGTTGTGCACTGCACTCAGGGTCACTCAAAAAATCTAGTTGCCCCTTAGCTTTGAGGAAGTTACCGAGGGAGGTATACAAGCAGCAATGGGACGTGGTGGTGGTGGACGGACCAAGTGGGGATACACCAGATGCACCGGGCAGAATGACTGCAATCTACACAGCTAGTGTGATAGCTAGAGCTGGGAATATGACTGACGTGGTGGTTCATGACGTAGATCGGATGATAGAGAAGTGGTTTGCTTGGGAGTTTCTGTGCGACGAGAACTTGGTTTCTTCGAAAGGGAAACTGTGGAATTTCAGGATAGCGAGCAAATCAAATTCAACAGAAGTTTGCCCTGCAAAAACAATTCTAATAGAGCCGAGTATTGGTTTCAATAGTTTGATTACAAATACACTCACTTGATTTATCATATATAGTTTCTGGTGATTCTGCTGACTTTATGTACAATAAGGATTGAAATGAGTGACATTTAGTCAGACAAAAATGAACCCATCAAGCATGATATTGCCCTTCATAACAAAATTCTAGCCACCTCATCTACAATTCAACATCAACAAACATCCTCGGGACATCACCATCACCAAAGTGACCAAACCCATCAAGCATCATTTACTTGCATCTGTTCGCTGCAATAAGAGAAGGAAACGTGTCAGCCTTAGGGAACTCCATTCACAAAATCCTTAAGAGGGAGCATGGTTTGACCAAGCTCCTCGGAAGTGCACTGAAAGGTGACAAAACGAGAAAATAAAATCTCAAGCATGGTAGCTTCTCCCCCATTTGAAATGGACGAGGCTTTGATTGGGCATATCTACCGATACAAATGAATTAAAAACATATTAGCAAGGGCTGATTGTAAACATTTAAATGATCATGTACTCAGGTTATCATAATCTAGCAACTACACGAAACACAATATAACCACAGCAATTGTAGAAGCACACACGTTGCTCTAGATGATGCTTATCAGAACATGAAAGAAATATAATTTCCATTATCTAAAAATTAGAAGGCTTTCAACAGCATAAGCATGAATGCAAGGTTTACCATTCGTTTGCTAACATACGGCTGTATCTTGATCAATGTCTCTGTTTCTGTTTCTGTTTCAGCCTCGAGTGACTTTTTATTTTCCACCTCAAATTCTTTTCTAGATTCTTTTCTGCTACCAGATTGCCAAACTCTACCAAAATTAGGGAGCCAGTTAACTTCAAAATTATCAGTAACAATCTCTCCTCTCTCCTCCATCTCGAGCTCATGCTTTCTCTTCTCAGCCCATGCAGCTCCCACCCGTTTTGGATTCAATTTCTGGGACTTCCCTGACTTGTTGGGAGAAGAAACAGGGTTACCTGATCCTAATCCTGGTTTTAGTCTAACATTTAGTAGATTTTCTTCCGTTGCATCAAACCAGGGAGGAGGTGCCCCAGAATGAACATTTCCTTTAGCTGATTCTTGAACCATACAAGAAATTTGAGTAAGATTCTGTAAACCTGAAGGAATTAAAGTTGATCAATGCATGTGAAAAGAAAAACCACCACATTACTTAGAAAGCTATACAAGTTTTACAGCATACAATGTCCATAGTTCCACTCCAAAAAACACAGCAGTGGAATGATGCAGATTAAAATTGTAGAGAAAGAAAGAGTAAAGAAATGTAGTAGTTAAGACGTATACCCTGAGAACTGCTCTCTCTATTAACCATTCTTTCATCCGGATGTCCCTGGTACATCTAAATCAACAACATCAAATGTTTGCCGATAGTTCAACAACACATACATATGAGAACTTTTAAAAATGCTTGCTCAAAACCCATGATGGTAATCAGCCACGACAAACCCAGATTCTGAATCTATGTAAAAGCAGTATCGAGGTATAGGTATGCAAGTGGAGAAAAAGTAAAACACTAAACTTTTTAAATGTTTAGACAGGACATCAAAATACCAACACAACATGCCAACTTCTAACAATATGCATAGTCGTTCTGAATCTCTGATGTAACATGACTGCGAGACTCCCAAAAAAAGGGATGGCAATAAAACTCAATATGGCATGAGTAACTAGTCACACTACATCCAACATTCCCGTTGATTCTTCTACAAACAAGTATTGCAAGGCAGGATTGAGAAAGAGATGTTGAGGCCCTCTTCTTAAAGATCAGACTTCCTTGTATCCATGTTTTCCTCACTTAAATTTCTTTTGAAATCTCAAAAAAATAAAAAAATAAAATAAAAAATTGGCTTTAATTAGGCTTTATCCTTTTAGGATGTTAGTTTCTTGAAGTCTTCCTCCACTAAAAAATTGTCAGTGGACTAGGGAAATAAGTTGTTTTTAATTATCATATCTCCTCTTTAAGTAGAGCTTCCATGGCACTTTCCATTCACTGGTCTGGTTCTAGCTTGTGGTCAGATAATCCATAGGCTTAAGTTGTATTTGCTTTTAACTTGCCAGTGTTTATTTGCACTATTATTAGCAACCCATTGCAGCATTTCGTACACACATCTTCAGATAAGTGAACATTTTGCAAATTCATAGCATTTCTATGGATAATTAGCAAATAGTTCTTTCGTGAGTCGTGACACGAGAATCTCTCAGAAAGTAAGAAATGAAAAAATTTACATATGCGATTGAGCAAACTAATGAATTTCCCCATAAGGTTACCCCTGAAGCTGCATATAACATCAGAAAACATATGTTATATGGACTCCGCTGAACATCTGAAGTTCTCATTTGGGCATGACATAGGTAATGGGCATGGGGAGTCTGGTGGCCATGCTAAACGCTATGGGCTGTGAAGTGGCCTTTTTCAATACTTGGCCATTGAATTTACCAGATAATTGTACATAAAACTATCTATAATCCTGAGTGCCCATGCCAACCACTAAGTTCCATAAACACACAATTTGACCCTACGGAATAAAAATAAAAGATAAAATAAGAAGAAAAAGAAAGCTATAACCTTGGAATCTCACTAAATTTTATCACAGAAGCAAGAATCAGCAGAAATTTTAATAATAAAAAGTTTGGATGTGTGTTCGACACGTGTCGGGAAGTGTCTAATATGTGTCGTTGTCCAAAATGTGTCCGACATGGATAGACACACCACCTTCTTAGAAGTATCCGGGGTTCTTAGGTTCCCACTTCATAAGAGAAAAGAAAACAACCGTAATGACGGAAAATCTACTAAAACTTCCACCTAAGCCCTGCACAAATGAGGGGATTTGGAAAGGTTGTTGTTGCCATCATCTCCCTCTTTCTCTCCTACCAATCATAGTGTTAAGATACTGGATTTTTTTTAATGTTCATATCATTTTCTATGAACCAAAACTTATCACGATATTTAGGGTCCAACTAAATCTGAAATCCTCGAAATTAAAAGTTTCATCCACGACACAAAAGATTACTGCATAAAACCTAAATGACAGATGAGCAAACTTACACCTCCATTACTGGGATAGCCATTGGCCGGCCATTTTCCACCATTACAAACAAAAGACTGTTGGTTATCCATGTAACCTGAGTCATAATATAAGCACAGATAAATTACCATTAGCGTTCTCAGCCTATATGGGCACTATATTTTTAAAATGATAATAAAAATACTCAGATTATGCATACCTGTTAAATCCTTCAAACCCCTTGGATTTGTATTGAATTGTGTACCCACAGGCAGATATGAATTAGCATCATGTAGACGAGGGCCAAACTCAGTGACTTCAGATAATTCTGAATGGGAAACCTGATATCTCTCATTCGTATAGTTTTGTAAAGGCATAACACCATTAGAAAAAGTTGATTTAAGAAAGTGATTAGTATTTTTGTCAAAACTATCTATACATTCAGAGTTCAGTTCATTGTGGATATCATTTGAAGGCCCAATTAAAGGTCTGTATGGTCCTTCATTGGCAGCTTCACTTTTCAATGATTTGCACTTTCTCTCCCACTGCAACCACAAAAAAGGCCAGAACTGGAGATTACTATGATGAAACAACAGATAAGAAATTATAGTTTCTTGGAAGAAATGGACAAATTTTTCAATCTCTTTATACTTGTATATCAAACATATGCAACAACAATGACCCAAGCTATAGTATGAAACTTTGAATAAAAACAATTGAATTATCACATAGACTTATCTCTTCATGGGAAAATTAAATAAAAGAAAATAACATATGCTACAAATTGGTAAGAAGACTTGCAACAAGGACATGACTGATTTATGTTTAATAAATAATACTTCATTTCTAGGACAACATACAATGTTGTTGAAGAAAGTGAAGAGAAAACAAAGTTGCCACATGTATCATGTTTGAAGGACGACTACCATCTTCTACACATTATACTGGAATTTTGGTTTTGAAAAACTTGAATGCAGGTACCATAGCAATCCACATAACGCAATTGCTTTAGTTTACGTGAAGAATCAGCAAATTTCCCAGCATATGTAAGTAGACAGCTTGATAACGTGAAGTGAACTAAAGCCAAATGCAGCGAGACTTATCAACTCAACCCTATCTAAGGAAAAAAGTACAGTAATAAGTTATAAGACCAAAATTTTGTACTCAAACCATGCCTGAAGTTCTTCTCGGGTATACTTAACATGCACATTTTAAAGCTAACCACAAATTAAGATTAGTCTAAAAAACCATGGACGATATGATATCTAAAAATAGATACCTTGGCTAGATCTGCCTCAGAAACCCTAAAGGAATTCACTCGATCCATCCCACCACCGTGCTTCCATAGAAAACTCTTTAAATTCTTCAAATGGTCATCACCCGCCAGATGATTGATTGCATTACCACTAATAATACAATTCAAAGCACAAATTGGAGAACAAAATCAGAGTGCAAACTGAAAACCAATGCCATAATCATCCACTTATTAATTTCCAATAGAACTTACAAACACAAATAACAAACAAATACATATATACATAAATTTCTGAATCCAAATTTCCAATTATTAACTCATTCTTTGAGGTTTAAGAGGATAGAAATTCACTTCTACTGTGCATAATAGAATACAAAATTCCATAATAAAACATTGTCAAATATCTTAAATTTACGTTTTTTTTATCAATCTAATTGAGCTTGAACAAAACATCACATGCAACCAAAGTTATCAGCATTGTCAAATTCTTCTATTGTCCTACGTTTTCTCAGCAACCAAACGGACCAAAACCGTAAGAGAAGAAGGATTAGAGAAGACCAAATTACCAGGAAAAAGAGCTACCGAGCTCGTGGATGTCAGAATCGCAGAAGACGCACCAGAGTCGATTGCGAGAGGCGTGTTCGGGCCGAAGAGGGGTAGGGTTTTTTAGGAAGAAGAGAACGTCAGAGAGCTTGTTCTGGAAGCAAGAGAGGAAGGAGGAGAGAGACTTGGCGTGGTTGGGGAAGTACTTATGGCGATTTCCTTGGTCGTGATTGAGCTTGCAAACCTTGCAGAACTCAAATTCATCGCTCTTCTTCTTCTTCTTCTTCGTCTCAGCTTGTTGGTCTCTCATGGTGTTGATAGGGTTAGGGTTAGGGTTTGGTTCTTAATTGGTGGTTACACACTCGCAATTCGCAATTCGCAATTCCAATCTTGGACTCTCTGTATCAGAATTCAGAACACAGCGAATTTGATCAAAGGCTCTGTCTAGTTGATACTAAAATGGAGGAGAGAGAAAATAGAGCGGGTTTGGAGAGGGAGTTCATTATTTTAGGGAGTAAAATTACAAATCACTAAAAAATTACATCTCGTCCCCTTCTAATCGCATAATTAATAGTCTATTCTATTAATAAATTATTAATTATAAGATTATTTTTATTTTTTATTTTTTTTAAGATTTCTAATAATAAGAATTTAGAAAATAAAGGATACTAAATAAAAACATAGGAGCTTATATTCTTAAAATACACGCGTTTTATATTCAAATTTATTGGATCAAAATATCCTTGTTAAGATCTTTGATCATGAAGGGACGATGGTTAGCGACGGTGTCAAGATTGATGTCGAAGTGGATGTGCCCATTTTTGTGGTTGAGAGAATAAGCAATGGCCTAAGACTTGGCCTTTTTCATCACCGGAAAATGAGCTTCACCGTTAGAACTAGTTGTGGTGTTGAAAGCAGATTACTTTTTGTTGTTGTTGGGATGAGACATAAAAAGCAATCAAAGAACTCATTCTGGGAAGAGAATTCCAAACACAAAGAAAAAGAGAAATAGATATATAGAGAGAAAGAGATAGAAAAAGAGTGACGTGTTTGATTTTCACTGGAATTTCTTTGGAATTTTTCTGGGTATTTTCACTGAAATTTCACTGGACACATCACAATCCACTTGAAATTTCTTTAAGTGTGTTTGGTTTATTTTTCGAATTAAATGCTTATAGAAATTAATGTCGAAACTTGTGTTGGACACTATCTCTTTAAAGTAGATTTTGCTCTCGCTTCGGTGCTTCGAGTTTTATCGGCGTCTACTTCTCAGGATGCAACGACTAACACTTAAATTTGCAGCATTACAAATTCAAGTCTGGCGAATCAAAACTCTGTTGTAACTTTCTCTTTTTCTTCCTAAAAAATAAATGCATAGGAAAAACAGAAGAAGAATGACGAAATTCTAAGAAAAAATTGAATACAAGAATGCTGGAATTGAAGGCTTTTTATAGTAGAAATAGTGGCTATTTCGAACAGGTAAAAACCCGTTCGGATAGATTGAATAGGTACCAGACATATTTGAATTTGTCCAAACAGATTCATTTTGAATTGAACATGTATGTTTTGAACCCTTTGAACTTGTTCGGGTGGGTTTGAACCTGTTAGGGATCTGTTTGGGTGAAGGAAAAATTCTAGACCAATTTATTTTGATTTTTGAAACCAAAAATAAAAATAAATAAATAAAGTTCAAATGTTTTTGGCCCAAAAAGATAAGTATTTAACCAAAGAAGCCCAACCCAGCCCAGCCCAACCCGCTCGACTGACCGGACGGACGGCAGCGACGGCATGCACGTGCGGTTTTTGTTTTGGGTCCAATGGGTCTAGCCCACTTTACTCATAATCTCATCTTTCTACAAACTTGGGTACCCCTTGGGACCCATCTCAAGTATCCCAAGCGAAGGTATATAAACCCATTCAAATCCATAAGCCTTTCCAATGTGGGAGAAGCACATTTCACAATTTTGTAGGAAACCCACCTAAATCCATTTCCACGAACTCGAAAATACGCGTTGAATTCGCATTCATCTGGAAATGGTTTTGAGTAACTAAATACACAGTTTTATTCACTACGCGGTATTAAATATGAACCCAATTAAAAATGTTAAAAATAACGCTTGGGTTCCACCTTAATTAATGCTCAAAGTTAGCAAAAAAAAAGATTTTTTCAAAAGCTTCCAAAGCCATTCTCCAACAATCCCCCACATGAATGGAATTCACGGTAACAGATATGCAACAAGATGCAGACAAAGAAGGAGTACATTAAGAAGATACACCACATCAAAATAGCTAGTTTTTGGCTTTGAACCTCCTCTAGTGAAAGCCTATCGGACTTACTAGCTAACCAGTGGACGCGATGCCTTGAACTGTTTAGCTATTTGTGTAAGCTAAGACAATAGACTACATATAGTGTATTTGCATACACAGTTTGGTTCTTACGGTTGTGTTCATTTTGGCCTTGAACAACGCCTGGTAATTCATGAATGCTCTAGAGAATTTAGCCTTCTCAATTCTCACAAAACCGGCCCAGTTCACACTCATATAGGTGACTTCTTATTAAGAGTATCCTGCTATATCCCACTTGGATGTCCAAGCTATAAGAATCATTAAAAGCAAAGCTTATCCTACTAACGCTGCAGGTATCACTTTTCTTATCATATAAATGGGTAGGAGTAAACCTCCTTAGTGATATGTGAAGTTATCCATAATTCGGTTATCCCTTTGAACTAGGGATGGTAATTTGAACCTGGCTTGACGAGGACCTGACCCCCCGACCCCGATTTGAGCGGTTTTTCCTCGAAAAATATCCCCGACGAGACGGAGATGGTATTCAAAAATTAATCCCCAATTAGTTTCGGGCTGGGGACAGGGATAAGTGTCCAAGCCCCGTCCCCGTCTCTTGCCTAGTTTGTCCCTGAAGTAAAATTACCATTTTATCCTTCTCTCTCTCTCTATATATATATATATATATAAAGAGACAAACCCATCTTCACTGATACAAACCTATCTGTCTCTCTCTCTCTTTCTCCCCCCTCTTTCTCTCTTCTGCATCTAAAGTCGACAACTTGTCGAATCCTCCGATGTCATTGCCTCATCTAACGCCACTGCCTCCTCTAACGCCACTACCTCCTTTGACACCACTACCACCGTCCCTCTCTAGATCTTCGCTGCTGCAGATTTATTCCAAGAAAAACGAGATCGATCGAGCATGGTAGAGTCCTCCATGAAACCATTTCAAATCCAGATCTAGTTTCTGTGTGTGTGTGTGTGTCCATGTGTGTATATATATCTATATATTTGTGTGTTTTACCGCTTCAATTTCTAATTCTGATTCTACTAGTGATATAAAGAGGCTGTGATTGTGATTGTATAGTTATATTGTGATTGTGATTGTGGTATAAAGAGGTTGTGATTTTGATTCTGTTTTTTTGGGGTTTTGAGTTGGTTGTGATTGTGGTGTTAGATCTGCAACTAGAGATTTTTTTTTTTTTGGGCCAGGAAATTTCCAAGGTTGGGGAAACCCGATCCCCGTTAGGAGGCGGGGACGGGGACTGTGATTGGTTCCCTGTCGGGGATTGAGGCCGAAGACGGGGAAATATTTGCCATCAGGGATCAGGGATGGGGAGTGTGATCCCTATCCCCGGCCCTGCCTCGCCCCGTTGTCATTCCTACTTTGAACCTAGATTTTGGGATCTCCAGTCAACAAGGTTAGGTCGCCATTATGGCAACTTTTAAGTAATAGGCTTTAATCCCATTCCCCTTGATAAATGGTACATTTGCTCTCTGGCTAGCCCTTTAGTCAATGAATCTGCAATATTCTCCTTTGACTTTACATATTCTATGGAAATTATTCCATGTGAAAGCAAATGCCTAACGGTTTTATGTCTTCGACGAATGTGTCGAGACTTACCATTATACATATGATTTTGTGCCCGTCCTATTGCTGCTTCATTATTACAGTGAATGCATATAGCTGGCACAGGTTTAGGCTATATTGAAATTTCTTCTAAGAAATTACGAAGCCATTCTGCTTCTTCTCTTGTTTTATCTAATGCGATAAACTCAGATTTCATTATTGTAACAACCCTAAACTCCGATTAACGTTAATCCATGATTAATTATGCCTAATTAGCAATTAAGGTGAAATTCTGAATTAAACTGCATCTGTGTGTTGCATTGGTTGTGTCTACATCTGTTGGGCGTAGGAAGGTCTGTTCACGTGCTAGTTTCGGCTTGCGAATTGAAAGCCTTATCGGCATCTGATTACGAAATTGACTTGATTTATGTGCTAATTAGGATTTTTAGAATTTTATGATAGGTTCAATCGAAGTTTGATTCAGAACGATTAAATTAGGTTAAATTAATGTGCACCAATCAACCTCAATTAATCACACTTGCATCCAAGCCTATTTAAGGCATCAATTGAGCCCACTCACTTCTTTTTCTTTCATTCCATCACATTTTGAGCTCATCCAAGAGAGACAAATGAGAGAGGGAGAGAGTGGGAGAGAAGAGTTGAACTCAACAGGAAAATTGTTTGAAAGTTAGAGGAAATTGAAGAGAATTTGGAAGATTAAGCTACCACACTTGAGAATTCAAGACTTGAGGTAGGCATTCACCCTCTTAACTATGAAATCAAATTACTAGTGCAAGAATTCTAGTGAATTAGATGAATTCATGTAAGGTTTGAGCTAGGTTTGGAGGGAACTAAATCAATCCATGCATGCATGCATAAATTTCCATGTTTTGAGTTTAATTTTCAAAGAATTCTCTCATGCATGTTTTGAATTCACTTTAATTTTGGGAAAATAATCACTGTGTTTGGTTTGAGTTTTTTGGATTAAGTTTTTTGAAAATTGACTTTTTTGATTTTTGTGTTTTTTTGTTTTTAGTGAATATTTTTTAAATTTTAAACATTTTTTTTTTACTTTTTTAGATGAACCTTACTTAGATGTATCTAAAAAGTAAAAAAATTGTGAAAAAATATTTTAAAAAATTAATAAATACATAAAAATACAAAAAATGTATTGAATTCTTGTATTTTTTTTTGTATTTTTGGTATTTAGTGAATTTTTAAAAGATTTTTTTTACAATTTTTTTTTACTTTTTAGGTGTATTTATGTTAAGTGTATCTAAAAAGTAAAAAAATTGCTTAAAATATTAAAAAAATTTAGTAAAAACAAAAAAACATGAAAAACAAGAAAGTAAAATTTTCTGAAAAGTGTTTTGAAAAACTGGAAACCAAGCAAGGTGAATGAGTTTCATGTTATTTGGTAGCATTTGATCATGTTTTGAGGAGCTTTAGTTCAAAGAATTGCATGCATGTTATGGTCATGAATTATTCTTGAGTTTCAAGTTGAATTTTTGCACAATTGACATGCTTTTGGGCCATGATTTCTTGATATGATCCTTTAAACATGTTGTTTTAATAGTTTTCATCTATTTCTTCAAGTTTTGGGCCCAGAAAAATTGAGTTTCGCGATGTATAGGTTGAGTTTGAGCTTGAA